AGTTCGAGCTCTTGTTGCCCCCGAGGCTTGGAGGCGTTGCAACCAGCATGATCTCTACTCACTGCAACCTCTCTGGCATCCTAAGTTCAAGTGATTCTCCTACCTCAGACTCCTGAGTACGCTGGGATTACAGCTGGGATTATGTGCCATCACACCTGGCTAATTTTTTGTATTTTTTAGTAGAGACAAGGGTTTCACCATGTTGGGCCAGGCTGGTCTTGAACTCCTGACCTGAGGTGATCCCACTCACCTTGCCTCCCAAAGTGCTGGGTTTACGGCGTGAGCCACCATGCCTGGCCATGTCATGTTTTTTTTAACAATAAAATAAAAGCATATATTAGGAAAAATAATAATTAAACACAGACTATAAGGACCGGGCTGCAATGGCTCATGCCTATAATCTCAGCACTTTGCAAAAGCCAAGGCAGAAGGATCACTTGAGCTCAGGAGTTCAAGACTCAGCAATGGACAACATGGAGAGACCCCGTCTCTAAATAAATAAAAACTCATAGCAGAACTAAAGACTAATTTCAGAACTCAATATAATTATAGTTACATGTTATACATATTAGTACTACATACTAATAAGAAAGGAAAACACGTAGACAATCTAATGAAATAATTCAGGCTTCAAGAAAAAAAACAGGCAAAATATCTGTTATACAACTTAATTCAAAGAATGTTCACTAAAAAGGTAAGTTATGTATTTAGTACATCCTGTCTGAAAGCCAGTTATAACACATATTAAAAAGGCTGAGAAATATCAATCTGGTTTTTGGTTGTTTTGATAACTTTACAGAGATAGCTCTTAATCAGAGGTGGTGCTGTACCCTGGGTACATATCTGAAATGTTGTGGGACATACATTAACTAATTAAAATGATTATGGGGGGGGGGAGGTGTATGCTACTAGGTATTTAGTGCCTAGGGCTCACGGATGCTAAATAATCCTATTAGGAAAGATTCACAATCAAAGAATGATCTCATGGCTTTCCTATTGAAAAAAGACTGGCTTTTTAATAGTGCTCCCCACACTTTCATGTGCATATAAATCAAATGAGGATGTTTTATAAATATAAATTCTGACTCAGTGATATTGACGGTACTTCCTTAGGATTCTTTGTCAGTGAGATCTCCTCCCTAAAAAGACGTTAGTATGATGCTTTTTTAGATTCACACTGTATTTAAATGTGATTTAGGTGGGTGATACTTTATCTGCCCTGGACACTGGACTTCCATAGTACGTGCATAATTTGTATAGAAAAATCAGTTTTCTCAAAACGTAACTCTACTACCATTGTTATTGAGAAGGCTTTTTGATGAACAGAGTCTGAAATCTGGTTTGATAGCTCAGTATTAATGACGGAGGAACGGCTGAATGGTTAATGAAATTAGATCATCGGTATTTCCATTTGAACTCAGGCTATGTTTGCTTATAATTTCATATGCCAGTTTACCATTGGATAGAATCTCTGCTTTAAGTTAAAAACAATTACTTAATAATAAACAGCTATATAGAAAATTTTACTGAAAGTTCCCTTCTCATAACCCAATTCTAATGTTTTATTTTTAATTTATTTTATTTTATTTTGTTTTTTTTGAGATGGAGTCTCGCTGTGTTGCACAGGCTGGAGTGTAGTGGCACGATCTTGACTCACTGCAACCTCCGCCTCCTGAGTTCAAGCAATTCTCCTGCCTCAGCCTCCCGAGTAGCTGGGATTACAGGTGCCTGCCACCATGCCTGGCTAATTTTTGTACTTTTAGTAGAGATGGGGTTTCGCCATGTTGGCCAGGTGGTTTTTGAACTCCTGTTCAAATCACTCAGGTGATTCACCCGCCTCGGCCTCCCAAAGTGCTGGAATTATTGGCATGAGCCACTGCGCCTAGCCTATTTTTAATTTTTTTTGAGACAGAGTCTCACTCTGTCACCCAG